CTGCTGCTGCTGCTAGTGCTACTGCCACTGCTATTGCCACGGCTACCCCGACGACGACGACTACTACTGCTACTGCTGCTAGTGCTAGTCCTAGTTCTGGTGTTAGTGCTACTGTTACTGCTGCTACCGCTATTGATATTGGTACTACTACAAGAACGTGTAGTCATCCGGGCAATACATCTTGTTGTGGTGAGGGGCGAAGGTGGCAGAAAGACTCGAAGTATATTCTGAACAGCAACATCAAGCAGAAATGACGAAACTCACCTGCTCACCAGAGTAGTGGTTCTGGTTTTTGCCACGCTGGTTCGAGCTGTCATTCAAACATTGAACCCTCCGCCAGTGTCGCGGGAAGACCCGAAGCCCTAAAGCCTAATTCCCCGGGAGCCCGCGAACACTCAATACAGGAAGGGGCCTGAGTAACTACGAATATATAATATACTGTTCCTTATGTTCATTGATACAATTGTAAATCGCATACACCCCCCCAGAACAAGGCCCCTACCCCAAACCCTTACCACTAAACCTTAAACCCTAAGCCCTAGACCCTAAGCCCTAAGCCCTAAACCCTAAGCCCTAAACCCAACGCCCTAAGCCTAAGCCCTAAGCCCTAAGCCTTGAACCGTATACAGCACCCCTATGCACATCTCAGAGGCGCCACTTCCAGACTGGACCAATCTCTCAACACCGGCTATGACCAGGCCGGGGCTGCAGCATTTGTTGCAAACATAGTATACATATACATGTGTAGAGATGTAGGGAGAGAGGCAGAGGGAGAGGGAAAGAGGGAGAGGGAAAGAGGAAGAGGGACAGAGGGAGAGGGAAAGAGGAAGGAGAGGGAGGGAGGGAGGGTACTTTATCATTTCTGAACATCTTCTTCGGCTTATTTTTTATTGCTACTTGGGAATCTAGCTACTCGTATGCTTCATTGTGGGACTTTGGGCAGCTGCACTGGAAGCAGTCAGTCGGCACTTTTGTCGTGCAATGGATGGCATAGGAAAACAAAGGGCGGTTTAGTCAGTAGCTGTTTGGCGAGGTGAAGCTGCAGTGCGAGGAAGTGACGGTGATCACGAACGCCCGGGGCGAAGCGATCTGTGAAGAGGGCCCCGAAAGCTATCCCATCTCCTGTCTGCAGGGTCTTAGTCTGACTCCCTCATCAAGTAGGAGCGCCTGGAAGAAGCATGGGCCCCAACTTAGGCCCAGTGTCTGTCTGGCTGAGGGTGGTTCCCGAACGATGGACGAAGAGCAGGCCAAGCGGTACCTCTGTGACAGAGCAGATCTGAAGAAGCAGAAGGACCCCTTTCCTTCCGGTGTGGATTTTTGGATTTCGGGCTCGTGCTCATCAATCCGCCTTAACCGTTACCCGACGGGAGTATGGAATTCAGACAACAAGATTAGGCTCTGTATATGCAGGGTCTCTTCCACGCCACTGAAATCCGGAGGAAGAGAAGAAGGAGTTCTCCTACACAAAGGACGCGAAGGAGTACCGGGAACAGCTAGCGGCCAAGGTGAAATCTGAAAAAGAAGAGAGGATTCGAAAGTACAGGGAGTCGATAGCTGCCAGCAAGCGATAGGCTCTGTTGAGCAGCTTAAAATGGTAGACATACGGATAGGATATCAACAGCTCCATATCACTGTGGCTTGCCATTGAATGGACAGCCAGAGTGCAGGCCAGAATCGGAAATCTGATTCTTGGCGGGGGGTATGCTCCAAGAGCGTAGCTGTGGGGGACAACTCATGGCCAGGAGAGCGACTGCTATAACCAGCTGGTCTGATCATTATCAGTCTTACCATACTTGTAGCTGTCAGTAGGTTCTTTGTTACGTCATGATGCTTGGTGACATGGTCTGGCTGGTGCTCCGATCAACACCTGCTCGCCCCTGCCGTGATCAAAGCACCTGCATTGCTCGAGGATGAGCGCGGTCCTCCATTTGAAGTGTAGGCGGGGTTCAGGGTGCCAGGCACCGTCTCAATTATTGGTTCCGTGAGGGCTGCAAGCTGTGCGAATGCATTTCTGCAGCAACCAAATTTTCGCCATTCAGAGCCCAGCAGATTTTCATAGAAAAGAAGGCTTTCCAGGCGCATGGATGGAGTGTTTGGAGGGCCTGCAACAGTCGGTCTGGTAAGCTTGCGAAGTACGGACAAGGCTGACAAGGCCTGGTTTCAAGCATCGGATGTAAATATGCAAGGCATCTATGTGCATTAGAAGCATGTGGTCGTTTCTGTTTTGCTGACTACCGACCTACCTATTGTTGATCTCGGGGTCTCTCAGGGCTGGCAAAGTGTGAGAGCTCGAACTGTCGGACAACCAGTTTAACAGCGATTCACGCAGCGTTGTCTTGAAATTAGGCTCGGTGCGAGGGGGGTGAGGGCTACACAAGAGGATTCCTCATAGGAGGATGGTTTGGTGCAGAGTACATTGGAGGAGATAGGTCAATGGAGTAGTGAGTAGTATGAGATTGCAGCAGACGGCTGAGAGCCGAGGAATGCGAATGGGGAAAGACCTTTTGTCGTGCAGGCTTCGCCCGTCTTAGTTTTCTTGGGCTCCACAGCATCAGAGTGCCACAACCTGCCTCAGGGTCACAAGCGTTGGAACGGGTGGCATGAGCTTCCGTCTTCGGGAAAACTTCACACGGTCGAGGCAGTCTACTGTAGGGTTTATGGGGCTAGTGTGCGGTGCAGCTTGGTTTCGAGCCCCAACTGCACAAAAGCATCGCCGTCGCCGAGCTAGCTGCTCGTATCCTTTCTGGGAGTCGCCATGAAGCTAGCAGGCAGGATGCCCTTGTCCGTTGTGGAGAGGACAGGGGGATCTCTTGCAACAGACACAGGCAAGCTTCCAACACACGTCGTTGCTGGCAAGGTGGGGGGCTCGGAGTTTTGGGGCTGCAGCCTTGTCTCGCGCACCAGGTAGGCTTGGTGTTCATTGCAGAGGTTGCTGAAACTGTAGGTAGGGCGATCGGCTGGGTAAGTTCCCTATTACCTATCCCTTGCGAATTGCGATCGTCGTGAAGCAAGCAATTCCCTGTCATTGGTTTCTGTCCGGCGTTCCAGGTCACGTCTGAACGAATGCGCGCACAGTGTTCGCTGCCCTGTTAATCCACATGTAGGTCCTCACCCCTTCTTCTTCGAATCCTGCATGTCCTTATCCGTGCAGTGAGCCAAGGCGCCTGCCTTGATGTATTCGGATTATCAGCTCAAGAGGTTCCGCCCTTAGGGCAGCTCCTCACCTGTGGGTCAGAGTTATGTTTTGTCTTGAGGGCAGATGCGTGACATATGGGCAGGCCGCGATAAAGCAAAGTGGCTAAGAGAGCGCTAAGCTGGTTTAAGCAGTTGCCATAATGAAGTTGAGGCAAGCTGGATGCATTCTGCCCGGCTGCAAGGCAACTTGCTTCTGCAGCAGTGATTGTCTTTCCGAGCACTTGTGTTGCACGTGCACATGCTAGTTCTGTATTGCAAGCAGTTCGCAAAGAAGAGAGTCGCAGAAGTAGCTACAGAGCAGTTGCATCGTAGCATTCTCCGTAAGTCTAAATTGCCACTTCTGCCGCAGCCTTACAGTGGTAGCCGGATTTGTGGGCACTTGGCACGAGAGCAACATACAAGACACAGAGCTCTGCAGGCTTAGTCTTTGCGGCCTTTCTTGTAGCACCATCTCCTGCTAGAGCAGACCAGATTTTCGCAGCAATCCCCGATCCCTGTGCCCTGCCCAAGCCCGAAACGCCCCCAGAAACCCTAAACCCTAAGTCCCTGAGCTCCGGACCTTAGTAAAACCCTTGAATCACAGAGATCCTGATCCTAAAGCCCCAAGTTGAAACTCTCGTGACCTACCCTCGGACATTAGTCTTTCGCCATTCTCCTCCGGGCCCTGATGATCGAAGAGGCCGCTGCTAGTTCAGCTTGCGTCAAGCATTAGCCCAAGAAGAGCGGGACGTTGGATGATGGAAGTAATCCGAGGAGTTCCCAGCCATTCTCACTAGCATTGTTACATATATCACATACTACTACGAGTTCTTCATAGTGATAAGCGGTGATAGCAGCGGGACTCGCAGTCGCTTTCGGGATTCGCCGGAGGGCTTTCCTGAGCCTTGATCCTGAAGGCTGGAAACCTCCAAAGTCTCTAAGCATTTTTGCAGAAAGAACCAAGCTTAAAGCCCATGAGGGGATAGGAGGTTCCTCCGTCAGCCCATTCATGCGCGAGCTAGCATGGCGTCATGATGTTCTGGAGGTGGTTGTGCGCAAGGCTGAAGATTGAGACCTCAGCCCATCAGCCTAAGAACATGCAAAAAAACATCACAAGATCGAAAACCCGAACCCCGAACCCCCGAATCCCAAAACCATGAAACCTTCCAGGACGCTGCATGTTCATAGGGTTCTGGTGTAAGCCTTTCGGTTTTGGCAGGTCCAGATGCTGCAAGGCCGGACATGTGCCTCTTCGGGTGTAGTTTTCCGGAAGTTCATCATCCGATTAAAACCCAAGCCCCAAGCATGCCCCGAGCCGTCAACGGGTCTTATGCAGACGTTGGGTGCCTTTTGCAGGGCTTGGAGCACTGACACCGGCGGATGCGGCCCTAAATAGAGCTGCACCTCCAACCCCACTTCACTACATGCATCTGTTCGTCACGGATGTTAGGCTTCGCATGTGCTCAGACATGTTATATGGATAAAACTCCAAGTTATTATGCACTCTAGACACATGTAAGACATCTTTGTTAACACCAGCAGCAACAACACACACAACCTCCAACACACACCGCCAGGTTATTGTATACTAGCCCATTATTGGAAGCCTGAATAAGATAATTAGCAAGACCCTTCTTTATCGCTCCTTATGAATATAGTACGTATAGTTTCCCCCCCCCATACCAACACTCTACTCTTGTTGTAAGACCCCCCACGTTGGCGTGGGAATTTGGGTTGCTTCATGGTAGCCTTGCCTCAGCCGCGCCCGCTGTTTGAATTTGCAGCTTGCTTCTCCTGTAGCCAGATGGTTATGTTTGGTTGCAAAGGCCCTTCTGATCATTATTACTCTTATTCGGACGCTTGTTTTGCCTGCTGTCATATTGTTTTGCTAACCCACCCCTAAACCCCTAACCCCTAAACCCCTAAACCCCAAGCCCTAAACCCCTAATCCCATGCGATGGAAAAAGGTCTAGGTCAAAGAACAAACCCTAACCCCTAAACCCCTCTCTTCCGACTTGGGTTTGCCAATGTTCTGTGACTTTTCTCCGTTTCCGGGTAGAAGGGGGCCCTAAACCCTAAACCTTAAACCCTAAACCCTAAACCTTGGATTGGCGAGACGGAAAAAGGTGCTTAAACAAAAACAATCCTTGGGTCTGTGAGCTCTGGGCGTGCCCGGGCAGGAGGGGGGCTGGAGCTCCTCCAGCACATTGGCCTGCCGCTGCTGCTCCTCTGGGGTGGGCGCCTCAAGGAAGGGCGCAGAAGAGAGAGGGCTTTAGGAGTTTAGGGGTTTAGGTGTTTTAGGGGTTTAGAGGTTTAGGGTTTGTGGTTTAGGGGTTTAGGGTCTTGGGGAGAGGGCCATATAGGCCTGCCCTTGAAAGCCCCCAAGAACCGTAGTTTCATTTCACTGTGTTGCCTTGTAGCAGCAGGTGGGCAGGACGGGGATCTAAGTCCCAGCGAGCCCAGCATCTAGCCCAGCCAAGCGATGCAGTCATCGCGAGACATCCCGGGAAGTCGCACGTGCTGTTTCCGCAATATGTCGATATGTCGTCTGTGGCGACATTGTAGTACACAGCCGCAGAAGACCATCTGTCAAGGGGTGTCCCGAGGGCGAGATCGGCTGACGGGCGAGCCATGAAGAAGAAGCCGTCCCAACAGAGTCCTAGTTTCCTCTACTCAGGAGGGGCCCGCTTCATCATGGGCGTCTCGCAAGCCTGGCAGCATTCCGCATGATCAGGGCTTTTACTGCAGTTAACATACAGCTGGCTGAGGTACATGTGTGTGTGTGTGTGTCTACACGCTCATGTGTGAGCAAGGGCGTCTAGGATTATCTTGAGCCACAACTATGCATAGCTTCCGTGTTGCAATCAACTGCATGCTAGCTGTCCATTAAGCATAAGGTAGCAAAGTATTGTTATATACTATATACATAATATACCATGGCAGACTCTACTAGACTATGACTATAATGTACTATAGCAAACCATGATATAATGTACTGCTGACTTATCTAGGGGAGGCCTTGGCTTGCTTCCTAACTTCAGGCCCTTCACTCAGCAAGAACTTGAGGCTGAGGCTTCAAAACCCATGACCGTCCAACCCTACGTCAACCTGGTCTGCTGAAATTGTGGGCATCACAAGGTGCTAGGTAACCATCGATGCTTTTGTGCTTATCGGTGTTGATATAGGCAGACGTTCCTCTTGAACTTGATGCGGCGCGGGTGCTTCCCCCTGCCATTCTTCCTGCCGGTTCTTAACTCCTTTCGATCTAAACCCTAAACCCTAAACCCTATCCCAGTGTAGCCGAGTAAAGGCAGAACCTCTGGTGTGCTGCCAGGCTGGTGTACTTGTTGCACTGCGTGACCCTGGAGTTGCTGCTCAAGGCGTTTGAAGGGGGTTTTCGGAAGAGCACGGATGGAGAAGTGTCGTCATCGTCATCATCATCATCACCATCATCAGCATCATCATCATCAACATAAATCATCATCATCATCATCATCACCATCGCAGTTTTGGCCGCTATTGCGGTTGTGGTGGTTGCGCTGGTGGTGATGGTGGTGGTACACAAACCTATGCCGAAACCACGAGCAGTAACCATACTGCTAATGTAAATCTGCCGGACAGCACAAAGAAATCAATTCCGTGCAACTTTATTTTATTGTTTGCGGGCCCAAGACCCAAGGATTGGCTTCGCTAGAAGTGCACAGCCTACAAGGCCGCAACTTTAGATGAACTCAATCTTGCACCTGTCTTTGTTCAAGGCTTGTTTTCGAAAAAAAGCCTATGCAAACCCTAAACCCTAACCCCTAACCCCTGAACCCCTAAACCCTAAACCCTAAACCCTACACCCTACACCCTAAACCCTAAACCCCTAAACCCCTAAACCCTAAACCCCTAAACTAACATAGATGACAGCTGCTTCCTGGAGGTGCGAACCACCTTCGCAGATCCTGCTGGGGTGCAGCCGAAAGCCTTCGCCCCAGCTGTGCGTTCTTCTGGTCAATAACCCAGAGACTCCAAAACCCCCTTAATCAAGGAATATACCTTAAACTAAATAACCCAGAGACTCCAAAACCCCCTTAAGTAAGGAAAAAACCTTAAACTATAGTAGGAGCCCCAATATGATTTAGATTTAAGGTATCTTCCCTACTTAAAAGGTTTTGGAGTCTCCGGGAACCAGAAGCCAAAAGCTGGGGTAGAAGGCCGCTCCTGCCATTCGCCATAGCTGCGGGTCGTCTAGCAGATCAGAGATGGTTCAGGGTCGGCTGAGCTTCAATCTTAGAACGAAGGGTTTCAGCCCGTTGTACATTGTTGTGGAAGCAGGCCTGTATAGTTGACGACTATAGCGTACTACACTTTTTTAGCATGTGTGTGTGTACTTTCCTATACTTTAGCATACCACAGTAGACCACAATATGCTACAGCACCCGTCATCTCCAATCTACCAAGGCCTCGGAGATAGCTCCGCAGCTTGCGGATGAGCAGAAATCCTTGCCGCTGCGAGGATGCAAGGCCAGCAGCTCAAATATTGAATTTTCACTTTGGTAAAGATTGGAAGAGAGGCATCAGTTAAGGAAGGTGTAGTGACATTCTTACATCATCTGCACACATGTATACCTACCCACCTATGTACGTACCAAGTCAATCGGCGTAAGCTTCCCAAAAAGGGCATGAGTGCACAGTCCAGTCCTTGGGGGTCTCTTCCCAGCATGTTCAGGCCGTCGAGGGTGAGGTCAGCCTGCCAAAGTTGCAGACGCAGCCCTCCAAGAGGCCCGAAAGTCCCGAAAGCGTTTCGTTTGGGAACTTTTTTGCCCAGATAGCGATGGATGACGTAAGTGCCTTTCAGGTTGCAGCTTGGAGAGGTAGTGCTCTGCCATGCAAGGTCATCGAAGGCTTCCAGTGAACCTCCAGCAGGGCAACAGATGGAGTATGGAGGCAAGTTCTTTCTGAGCTGCCTTCAGAGCACTGTGTGCATCGTCGTCAAACCCCAAAGCCCCGGAGCTGAGCAGCTGAAGCCTGAAACGCTTGTGGGAGGCAGCACGAGCAGCACTTCAAGGAGTTTTCTGCACTTGGGGCGAAAGCCAAAGGAGGCTCTCCGGTGCTTAAACGACCTGCACTACTGAGATGCCTCTAACAGCTGAAGCTGTGGTATGCTGCAGTGTTTAGCAGTTGGGGTTTATGGATCAGGGCTTAGTTTCCCGGATACTATATATTATATACTATATATTATATTTTATATACTATATATTATATATTATAATATATATACTGACTCCGCTTGTGCAGGAGACCGCTCTCGGCGTTGTCGAGGATGAAGCGTGGCTGCAGAGGCGGCGATGTCTCCGCCGAAGGCTTAGCCACCCTAGGGCCTAGGACACATCGCCTCCCGCGAGCTTGCTTTGGGTTCTCCGGACAGAACTAGAAGTCACACTCTCACCAACGCCAAGCCCAAGTTAGCACCTAAATCTCGTAAGTCCTCTAAGGAGAGGGTGCTGAAGTTCATCGGCAAGTGAGGCAGTATGTCCAGCAAAAGGCCGGTCGTTGCTTCCTTCAGGAGGCCTTCGGCCCGCAAAGGGACAAGTGGTGGTGGCGGTGGCTGGACTGCTTTGTTGCCGTGGTTCTCGTTGTTGTTGTTTCACCACCGTCATCAGCCTGTGCATCATGTGTATCCTCCACGGTCATAACTAAAAATAATGATGATGATGACCCCTGTCAATTAGTCAGCGTTTGTTGCAGCGGCAGCCAAGTTGAACGCAGAGTGCCCTGTTGCACAAGGCTGTATGTGCACGTACGTTGACAACTTTGGCTTGTCACCAACGCAGGTTCGACCTGGAATGGAACTTTTGGAGATCGCGGAGATGGTGCCGGTCCTGAGCAGACTCAGACAATCGAAGCATCCCGTTGTGTGCACCCGCGGGCGAATTTCCCAACACTCAACCGACTATTCCCTATCTTCAGTGGCGTGCCTCCCCAAACCCTAAACCCTAAATCCTCAACCCCAAACCCTAAACCCTGAATTTTAAGCCCTAAGCCTTGGTGACTGCGATTGCCAAGGTCGAGCAGGCCCGTCACCCAGAAGACGCACAGCAAACCGCACCTGCCCTGTCGGCCGGTGGCTTCCCCTAATCTCCTTCCAACAAATTCTAAATCCCTAAAACCCTAAACCCCCAAGGCTCTAAATCCCGAGACCCGAAAACCCTAAAGCTCTAAGCCCTAAACTCCTCAACCCCTGAAAACCCCTAAACGTCTAAGCCCTACATGGCTACATGCAGGAACCCTAATCCCCAAACCCCAGGAGCCCTTCTTTTGCTCCAGGCCTCCTCCAGTCTCGTCGGCTTTGACCCGCGGAATCCTCTCAGGCCCTGATACGATCATATAGTCGAGCAAGGGCTGATCGGTTCGAGTCCCTATACATATGTAAGTGTGTGTATATATATATATAGATGTATGTATACATTCACACTTATATATATATATGTGCACATGCGCTTGCGCGCTGTACATGGGTTTGGAGCCTTCGGTTCCGGTGCGGAGGGCCGTGTTCCACGGAGAGAGCGACCATACATACATACATACCTATGTATGTATGTATGTCTGTCTGTCTGTCTGTCTGTCTGTCTGTCTGTCTGTGCGCGATCCAGGCGGGGCTGGGCCTTTCCGACCGGGTTGTCCCTGAACGAAGTCGCGGGGAGCCTTGCCCATGGCGCTTTGCGGTTTAGGGCTCAGGGTTATGGGGTTTAGGGTTTTAGGGTTTAGGGTTTTAGGGTTTCAGGGTTTTAGGGATTTAGGGTTTAGGGTTATGTATCCATCTCAGTGTCTCCTGTTATGTGATGTTTTCTGGAATGTGGTGTCCGGAGGGTAAGAGAGTGCCGTGAACTCTAAACCCTGAACCCGAGCCACTAATTCTCCAAGGCCGCACATGACACCGTGAACCCGGGCGATCCAGCTCGCTGGCTTCAGCCGGCCGCGTGGCAAAAGCACCCTTGCTTCTGAACTGCAAGGGCCGGTATTCATTGACACAGGCAGACATCCTCAAGATAGACTTCGGGGTCCACGCTGCCGCCTGAGCTGTCAGAACCACTCTAGGCTCTACTGGGCTGTGCTCTGAAGTTCCACAAGGGAGTTTCCGAAATAAGGGGTACCTTTTTTGGGGGTCCTTATAATAAGGATCCTACTATTTAGGTACTATATTAGGGTCCCCTATTTTCGGAAACCGCCTAGACCCTAAACCCTAAACCCTAAACCCTAACCCTCATGAGGTGCAAGGGAACATCCTCGACAGCGCTTTCTCTGTCAGCTTCGATCCCATGCATGATGAGCCCGAGCCTCGGAAGCTTGTACTCCCCGGGGGCTCTGGGGGCTCTGGGGGCTCTGGGGGCTCTGGGGTTTAAAGGATATGTAGTTTTGAGAGGGGGAGACGGCACGTGGCAAAAAGTGGCCTCTTTTGGTCAAGACTCGCGTTTCTTCCCACCACGCTAGTTCGACGAGAGTAGCTTAACGAAAACGACCACGTTGTCTGTGGTGATCCCAAGCCAAGCTGTCAGCTTAGATGTCATTTCGACAAGTGTCGAGAATCGGATTTTTTCAGATCTTGGTTTCGATGCCCTCTGCATCTGCACCCGGCCACGCTTGCAGCACTCAGGCTCATGCGCACGGTGCAGGAAGCCACGGAGACTGGGATCAGGACTGGATCTTGACTGCAAGCTTTTTGGATCTTCAGTGGCCCTTCAGTGCCTCAGCCCTAAACCCTAAACCCACAGACTTGCAAGCAAGACAAGCGGAGCTTGTCGGTGTAGCCGAATGGACAACCTCCCATCACCCGATTGAACCTTCAGACCTGTCCAACGTCGCGTCCAACCGCTGTGCAGCAGCTAACCTAGTAACCATAAAAAGTTTTCTAAAGGTCTTCCTTAAGGCACCTTGTTGCAACGATAGCAACGAGAATCCGAATATCCCCGAAAAGCCCTCTTCGAAAGAGTGGGAGCCTTTTGTTTTTTTCCGGGATTTTTGCGAGGAATGCTGGCCCGGATGCCTGGATTTCGGAGATCAGCAGCCAGATCCGTGAGGTCATGGAGTCAGGGGAGGCCGATGGCTCTCTCTCTTGTCACCCGTGTTTCGGATTTACGAACCCCAAAATAAACCCTAAACCCTAAATCCTAAACCCCTAAACCCCTAAACCGTGGTATCCTGGTTCCGGTTTAGGGCTTCATATGGGGTGTTTTTTTGGGGTGTTCCGAGCTTCCAACCCGGGCCCGAAGAAGGATCCCCAAAGAGTCCGAAGCCTAATTCCCCCCTAGTACCCCCTATTACCCCCAAAAAAGAAGGCGTGAAGCCGAAGAGCCCAAGAGCCCAAACCCGTAAACCCGACATACCGATACACCAAAGGCTAGAGCCGAATACCGACACACCACGACCTGCAACCTCCACACCCTACATCCACAGCATATGGCCGGGTTCGCAGGTGCATCGGCCCGACGGTAAGGTCTTTCGAGTCAAGGCACCGGTTTGCAGATTGTACAAGGTTTGGGTGTTGGGCTAGGAGTTTTAGGTTTACTACGGATTTTGGGTTTAGGGGGTTTGCGGTTTAGATGTTGGGGTATATTGCCTTGGAATTCGTGGCTGTAGTTCAGGGCATTAAGTAGAGACGGGTTGCAGGTCATCAAGAACTTGACGGGCCACTTGATCGGACCCTACAAAATCCACGCCGGAAAGCCCGGGGCTCAGCTTGCGAGGAACCCCTGACAGGTTTTGGAAGGGTTTTGGTTTTTGGGGGCCTAATTTAGGGTTTAGGGTTCCTAAACCCTAAACCCTACGCCCCCTGATATCCATATGCAGTGTTGTTGCACAAAGCCGTTGGCATAAGAAAAAGCCGGGAGCATAAGGGGAGAAGCCCACAGCATAAGAAAAAGACCATGCCCCCCTGAAATCGATTCCTCAAAGCTCTTGGGCCTTTGGGTGGCTTCTTGTGTCTCTGAATGAGGTCTCTCCCATCCGTGAACACCGGTGGCAGGGTGCGCATCAATCGTGTTTTGGAGGTTGAGGGCTGACGGCTGGTCTCCAGAGTGGAGTACATTGGGAGTTCCCGGAATTTGAGGATGGCGGGTTGGGAGTTCGTGAGGCCTTAGGTGGTTGAACTTATCTGGGCTGCGGTGTTGTGTGGCGAAATGAGTGTCGGCATCGAGGCTGTCAGGACTTTCATATGAGGGAGGTTCTTCAGGGACGTGTTCTTGCGACCAGGTTAATTAGTGGCTCCGTAAAGTGGTTCATGACCCCCGGACGTAGGAACGTTCAAGCAGTGCCAAGTGAGGCATCGTCCTTGCATGCGCAGGAACGCATGCTAGCTGGAGAGCTCTGGGCAGCAGGGGCCTCTGCCAGGGTCGTCAGAGTATGTCCACACGCGAAACCCAGGTCCAGACGTGGAGTAATGAGGAAGCCGTAGCCGTGGTAGAGATGCAGGTCTCGTGATCGGTTGCGGCAGAAGCAACTAAACCATGGTTTGTTGTGACTGGGCTTCCAGAACTTGTGCCAGCATCGACTCATCTGAGATTTCTCCGAGGTTGAGACGTTTGGCTCGGTGGGTGGGCTGGGATACGTGGGCAATGGAGGCGGTTGCTGTGGTGCTCTAGTGGCAACATCAAAAGATGCCGCCGTATCAGCAGCATCGTATATGCCATGCCTTGAGAAGTATATTCGAGTGATTCTAGAGATCCTAGTATGCGTGCATGGTACGATGTGATCACAGGTTTGGCTGTGTCCCACTACATCAGCATGGATCAGGCCCCTAAACCCTACACCCTATAAACCCTAAACCCCAAGCCCTAAACCCTAAACCCTAAACCCTATAAACCCTAAACCCTAAACATGATTGTGGATGGGGGAGGCAACTGCTCGCACTTCATGCGCTCGTCGGGCTCCGAGCCGGCGCAGTGGCAGAGGCATCCGAGCCCGTTCGAGTTAGTTGTTAAGGTTTATATTTTCGGGCCCAGGGTCTAAAATCTAAAATGTAGATTTCGGGCTTTGGGGTTGCAGGTTTAAGATCCTGCTCGGCTGCCGCATGGTAGGGGACTCGTTTCGGGTCCCGTCATTTCGACACAGCTTCGGTAACGGTCCTAGTGGTTGTGGACTTGATGGCATGGTCCCTTCGTAAGCATGTACTCAAGCCGTGCGAGATGCACTGGCGAGACTGAGTTGAATATGTGTCGCTCACGGCCTTTCCAAGTGTTCCCCTACCCTACACGGCCCTACACTCCCTTCTGCACAGACGGGCAGGTCCATTCTGAGTTCCAGTGCAGTGAACTTGTTGCAGCCTCAGCCGGATGCACCGTAGAAAAGCAGGGGACAGTTGAACAGTTCCTATGCAAACCTGCTAGTGACCCTTATGCGCTGCTTTCTTGTCCCTTGTAACTGAAGTTGTAGTCAATGCCAGCGAGGGTTGGTAGGCAAGCATCTGTCGACTGCAGGTTGGATCTCATAGATCAACGCTTCGGCACTCTGGCCTTTTGCCCGCGCTGGATTCTGCAGGCTCGAGGCTCTGCCCGGGTGGCTTTGGCAGTCCGTCAGTGCTGCTCACCACCTCACGGTGCCCTGAACCCTAATCCCCGTTAAACCCCTAAAGCCTTAAGGCCGCTCAGCAGAAGAAGCCCAAGACGGCGACGTCCGACCAGGCGTCACTGTTCCTCCATTGCAAAGACACTCGATCTCTAGGCCCTCGATACCAGGATTGGCAGCAGGCAAGGAAACTAAACAGCTTTCTCCGTCGTGTGGCTGCGACGTGAGTATTAAACGAAAGCGAGCACAGTTCTGTGCACGTGTGCGTATGTGTACACGTTTGTGCGCGCGCACACACACACACACACTCACTCACTCACTCACTCACTCACTCACTCACTCACTCACTCACTCACTCACACACACACACACCCACACACCCACCCACCCACCCACCCGCCCGCCCACCCACCCACCCAC